CAAGCACAAGATCTCCGTCAGGTCAACCAAGCCCCCCACCCCGAGACAGATGACAACACCCCCGCTACCGCCATTCGTCGTCCGCATGGGTTTGACCAGCTCCTCGCCGGCGCGCGAGAGATCACCATAGCCGGCCACGGGTTGGATCTTGTGGGGGATATAGTCGCGCTTGAGTAGGGCGGTCAGGATTCGACAGGCACAGAGCGCATCGGGTTCAAGGGCGACGAGGATGAGCACCGGTGGGGACAATGGGTGATGTGAGCGGAGTAGTTGTAGGTATAGATGGGAGATGAGTTGACGAGGGAGATACATGGCGGCGGGTGAAAACTAAGCAAGGCGCGAAAAGACACACCCCCGCCGCACTACTTCTCTCCTCGACTCGAACGTGGAAGGTAGGGTCCGTTGGGTCGGTCTTTTCTTTTAGGTGGGTAAGTTCTTATCGAGAATCACCTCCACACACACACGCGCGCGTATGTATGCGCGGGTTAATGATAGTATTCGGGGGAAAGTTTTCAACAAACTGGTGAAGTAGACAGTGAAGTGCGAGGAGCAGCAGGACCACCAGCACCAGCAGCACCAGCAGCAGTGACAGAAAGGGCCCCCTTCCACAGGCCCCAACTCCGTGGGGGGGTTTAATAGAAAGATGGTGGGATAACAATGGGAGGGAGAGAAGTAGGAGGAGCAATCTCTTGCAAGTTAAGGGAAGAACAAGGTCTAGAAGGTCAAAGACTCCATTGTCTAAGAGGGGTAAGATGTTTATTGGGGACAATTGAGATCGAGTCAAGAGAGGACAAAGTAGGGCAGTTGAGCGGCTAAAGTAAGTTAACAGAAGTAACGAAGTAATAATCGGTTTTCCCGTCGCGCATCTCCAGGGCCCGACGACGCGTCTGGCACGTGCGGGAGGTCGAGTTTCTGCCAAGCCTTCTTTTTCTCTTTTAGGATTCATTGCTTTACTCCCAATTCAACTGGTTTCCACTGAAGAATTTCCCCTTCCCCTCAGCTTTCCCTTGCTAGGAGGTGCCCAGTGCAGTGCAGTGCTCTTTCTCTCTTTCCTGTTTTTCTTTTCCTCTTTTTGCTGGAGACCTTCGGCATACTTTCAGTTGCTGGTGTTGCGAGGGAAGGGCTGACAATGTTTCCAATTCTTCTCACACACTTCCGTCTCTCGTGTTTACGCGCTTGTACTGTACCTGTTTGTCTCGGAGGGGTTCGTTCCTGCTTATAGTTAGATGTTGCACCACATGCGAATGAACATTGATTCCTCCGTAATCAGACCAAGGATCGAATTTCCTTGTATGAGTTCGTCCTAGAATCGATGATATCATACCCGGTTGCAGATCTCCTATTTTGTGGTTCCAGGTAAATTTGCGTTTGCGATCATTGCGAGAATATGGTCAGAAAAGCAATTGCCGCCGGTTCCTCTGCGCCACTACGCCCAGTAATTACGATCATCTTGGTTAGCAAGACCATAAATAAGCAAGTAGTTTCGTGATCTTGAGAAGAAGGAACAAAAAAAAGAGAGAGAGAAAGAATTATAATGGACGAGCTGAGGTATAGTGAAAATGAACACAAATAGAATATACGAAAACTGGACACGCTTTACACGCCATACGACATCCCAAATCAAGCAGAGCTCGCGCCTAGAACAGAGCCGCCGAGCCAGACGGCAGCACATGCACCAAGCACAGTCAAGCCAATGAACCGCTTCTCCCAGGTGGACTCCTCGGTCATCCTCGCGGGTCCAACCTTCATCTTGACAGTGTGATGCGGGGACAACTGATGGTGTATATCTGACTCCGGACGTGAAACGGCTGCCCCAGCCTGCAGAACTGAGTCATTGTGCCCGGCAAACATGTCCCGGTCGTGTGTGCGCCATTTCTCAAGCAGCCGGGCGATCTCAATGAGGTCCTCCTTGAGGGAGCCCGGCTCAGTGCCATTGACATTCTCAACTTCGACATTCTGAACATTTCCGAAGAAGTCGACCACCGTCCGCAGGCGACCTTCCTGCTCGCCGCCAGGGAAGAGGTCCCACCGCACGCCCGGCTGGGAATGGATCTTGGACTCATCGTAGGAATCGAAGAGGTCGCCCAGGGTCTGTTTCGAGTTCGCACTCGTTACCTGCGTTTCGAGAAACTCCAGCACATAGTATGTCCACCGGTCAATCACCGCTACACCCACATCACTGTCCGCATGGTGGGAGTACGAGGACTGGTCGAGCGCACTCGATCCGGTAGCAATGATGTTGGGCGAGTAGAAATGCGTATACATGGTGTTGGCCTGGCAGGTATCGATCATGAACAGAAGCTCATGATAACGCTTCTTTTCCCACATCTGACCAAAGGCATCCGCCAGATCCCATGCCCCGATCTCTTCAGAATCCTGGAACTTCAAGAACTGGTCGCCCCCATGGCCGGTCATGTATACCAGAACGTTGCTTCCTGCATCGGAACCAAGCCGCTTGCTGCGGGGCACGTCCTCATCGAGACGGTCGGTCAGGAGGCGAATGAAATTCTCCACGGTGACCTCGTAACCGCGATAGTCGACTTCGATGTTGTCGCCATAGAGATCGACTGCGCGGTCGGCGTTACTGTAAACGGTTCCAGGAAAAGCGTTGCGGGGGTTGCAGGCCATATCGTCGGGGAGCATTAGGATAATTTGCGAGTCAGGAATACCCAACCGTTTAACGGTGCGATAGAGGGAAAGGACATTGGCGAGGTGGCGGTAGTTGAACCAGAAGCGAGAGGTAGAGACGAGAACGGCCCAGTTCGACGTATGCTCAGAGGTTACGGAGACTGTGAATAGAAGAAAAACGAAGGGAAGGGCCCGAAGGAGCCCTGAAAACAGGGTCAACATGGCGAGCGATGGGAGGAGTTTAGAGCATGATCAAAGTGGATGATTATCAATGGAGATGTGACAATGGCCAGGCACAAGCACAGATTCGGGGGCGGCGGCGGCGGCGGCGGCGGAGGAAGAGCGGCAATCCTCAAACACCGAAGCGGATACGGTGGAGTCAGCGCGCTAACTACATTAGGAATAAAATCAGATTGACGGACACTTAATCAGTTCAAGTGCCAAAAGACAATCGTTCACATGCGCATCAGTCCTAGGCCCATCAGTACTAGGTACTAGGTAGGCCATGAGGCAGTGAGGCAGTGCAGATCTCTGTGGTGAGCGGACTGCTACTCTCTCATTATGTTGTATCCATGTTTGAGATAAGATGATCAATGGTGTCAAATCTACTGTACATCCATGTGAACAATAACCTGACATGTACCCTCCACCACTATCCGAGGAGCAAGGCCTCTGGCTGGCTTCCAGCGTTCAAGATTGGCAGATAAATCATGGCTTCCTGCTCAAGCGCGTCCGCAGCCAATCTGCACACAGTGTCCTCTGCTGTCCCATCGGAGTCACGCTGTTCCCAACGCCATTCCCTCGAGCGCAATTCGATGAAGCACTAAAACTGCAGAGCATCTATAACGAGCTGTACTGTGCTATGACCGAGGACGAGCATTGGATACAGACAACCCTGCAGGAGATCCTTCAAGTCAACCCACTTGCTGCGGCTTTGTGGGAGATACACCAAGACGTCAAGCGCGTAGGTGGGTACACCCAAAATATTTCATGTGGAATATTTCGTTCGGACTACATGCTTCAAGGCGATGGAACCTCCAAGCTGGCTATCGACCCAGCCGACGGCTCTATCTCCATCCCGCAGCTGAAGCAAGTAGAGTTCAATACCTTCTCCTGCGCCGGGGCATCCCACGCACAAAAGACCGTGGATATGCACCGCCATTTCACCCGTACAGGGGCATACAATTCCCTCACAAACGGAACTTCACCTGTTGGTCTTGCTGCCTTGCCCGAGAACAACAATATTCAATCACTAGCTGCCTGCCTCGCAGAAGCGCACGCCCTCTATGGGCAAGCAAAGAGCAAGGTAGCTGCAGAAACAGGAGTCCTCCTTCTTGTCCAGCCCCAGAACTTCAACATTGCTGACGAGCGGCCCGTCGAATATGCGCTGTGGAATCAAGCCAGTCCCATCCCAGCCTACCGTGTCGAATGGGGCGACGATCTACTCGAAACCACATCCCTGTCCGAAACGAAAGAGCTGCTCTTTCACCCACCATGGCTGCAGTCACAAGTCCCAATCGAGATCTCCGTCGTCTACCTGCGCGCAGGCTACGAAGCCGACGAATACGACCATGTAAGCAAGAGGGCGCGAGTGCGGTTGGAGATATCCCGAGCGATCAAATGCCCATCATTATTGGCACAGATCCTCACATTTAAGAAGGTTCAGCAAGCCCTCACAGAGCCCGGATCTGTGGAGAGGTTCCTGTCACCGAACAAGGCGGCCAAGATCAGAAAGACGTTTGTACCCATGTATCCGCTGGATGAGTCCCAAGCGGGTCTGCGGGCTCGAAACTGGGCAACTGATTCAGATGTCGCGGAGAACTACGTGTTGAAACCGTCACATGAGGGTGGGGGCCACAATGTCTATGGGGCGGATATACCTGACTTTCTGGCTTCGGTTGCGCGTTCCGCGTGGCGTGCATACATCTTGATGGAGCGCATCCACTCGCCGGCGGTGTATAATGTGCTCATGTCGCCGCAGGGCATTGGTTCGGGCCCGGTCGTATCGGAGCTCGGCGTGATCGGGACCTGTATCTGGAAGAAGACAACAGAGGGCTCTGAATTTCTAAGCAATACAGTTGCTGGGTGGTCATACAAAACCAAGCATGCCGACGTGGATGAGATGAGTGTGGTGAAGGGCTATGGGTGCTTTGACACTCCACTCCTATACTGATGTGTTCATGAACAATGTTAATCCACACATATAGTAAGTTACACAAGTCATCTCGATCCCTGATATCATGACAAACATACAGTAACGCTTCAAGTATACTAGTGTACTATTCCCAACCGATGCGATCGGCAGTACCTACGCCGGATTGGTACAAACCGCCGTTGGTGGCGTCGGCGGGATCCAACCTCGCAGAATCATGCTCTAATCTAATATATATGCATTGTTTCAAAACTAAAGGTCTAACATGATCAAGTAATCGTACAATTCGACGCTTATTTGCCAATCTCAACACCACCAGTGGCACCGAGGAGACGCTACAATACTGAATTAGTGATCTGCTTTGGAAGCAGCTGACGAACAGAGATCCACATACCTTGATGTCACCGTAGATGGCGAACTGACCAGCGGTGATGGTACCAACCTGGAGAGGATATTAGCCTTCAAAGTCCAAATCTGTCGTCCTTTGAGGAGTGAACATACCATGAAGAGACGAGCACCGATACCGGCGTAAGAGCCACGGAGACCAAGCTCCTTACCGATCTTAATGAGACGAGAAACGGTACCCTCACCAGGCTCACCGGGGGTCTTGTTGATCTTGGAGAGCATAGTGTCGGCGGGCTGGGAGACGATGGCAGCAGCGAAACCAGCAATGAGACCAGAGCCAAGGTTGATACCAGTCTTAGCACCCTCAGAGACAGAGTTCTTGTCAACGAAGCCGTAGACAGCCTCGACTGTCTTCTCGAAAACAACGAACTTGGCCATAGTGTAAGGAACCCTGCCGGAAGTTAGCAATGGCGCATATCCTTGCTTATGGGCGCGGGCCGGCCGGGAAGTCGCGGAAAGACATACTGCTTGAAGAGCATAGGACCGAAACCAGAGTAGAAAGCACCGATACCCTCGTTCTTGAGGATCTTACCGAAACCGCTCATGAGACCGGAAGCGAAGGTAGGCTGGGAGACAAGACGAATACGGGTGGCCTCAAGGGGGCACAGGGCGATATCAGCGAAGAACTCAGCGGTGGCGGAAGAGGCAAGGTAGATAGCGGTGCGGTTGTTGGAGGCAGTCTCGTAACCGAGCTGGTTAATCCACTGCTGCTTGAAGAACTCGTAACCTCCGAACTTGAAAGCACCCTGGAGGAAGTAACCGGCAGCGGTAGGACCGAAACCAGTGAGGAGAGCGCCAGCACCCTCGTTGGCAATGACCTGCTTGAAACCACCAATCATACCACGGTTGTAGGTAACCGGGTCGAGCTGGATTCTGGTCTTGACGCTGCAAGGCACGAGAAAGAGAGAGGACGTCAGCAACGGGCATGGTCGGATGGCAGGATAGGCAAGTCGATCAAGCGCGCGCACAGGCGGAAATACCGAGCGCGTTCTTCAATTGCGACGTGGGCGAGACGAGACGGTGTCCGACTTACACATCGACAGGAGTGAGAGCTCCGTGAGTGACGGAACAGCAGACAGCACCAGCGAAGGCGAATCTGGAGTAAAGGGCAAGGCCAGTAGGCGCGTCGGCCTTAGGGGTAGTGACGGACATTATGTATGAAAGGGTATATGGGATGTTATAGAAAAACAAAAGGAAAAGGAGGAGAGGAGTGTGGGGGGAAGGGGGAAGGGAAAGAAGAGCGAAGCGATTGAAGCTTTGCAGAGATTGGAAAGGAAGAAAATGGACTCGGGAGGCGGCCGGCAACGGGGGAGGGAGTGAAAGAGTCGACTAGGACTAGTTTGAAAGGGATGGCCGGAACCTCGCTGCTTTTGGCCCTAGTGGCTAGCGGAACCCGAAAACTTTTCGCTGCCAGTGCACCGCGCCTTGGAACCGCTTTAAATCCGATCTCCCGGTCAACACATGGCAATAATGATGGCAAAACTTATTGAAGGGAAAAAAAGAAAAACGTCGTCATAGTATAAGGAATTGAGTAATGCTAATGATAGCATTGGTAGGGTAATAGGGCTGACTGAATCACCCCCAATCTCCCAATTACTCGTCTACTGTTGAGTCTTAGGAAATTCTCGACAAGTGGCTGGTGGCTTTCCTACCAAGTAATAATAATATTGTTAATACTGTTGTTACTGTCAGATCTTGAGAAGTCCTCCTCCAAGCCTGAGGCATTCCAGTCCCCGTTCTCCCGTTAGTTACCCGCCATACTTGTTCGATGAAGAGAGACACACACACAATGACATCCTCCATGGTTACCTAGGTAGTGACGGCCTTTTCTCTCATTCTTCCCTATCTATCCTTAAATTGACACGCATATTGCTAAGAGGACTAGCAATATTCAATTGACCTCGGATCCTCTCTGACCGTAAAAGAACCTGAATCCTTGGAACTCCGCCCAGCCCGACGAGGTCCCGGATTGGCGCATGAATCCCCTTCGGTCAACGGGAAGCCGACCGAGATATCCAGGCGGATCTCATCCATCATGCTAAATTTGGGTTTCTACACCCTGTCGCTCACAAGGTGTTCAAACATCTCGATTGTGTCACTATTCCTGACAGCTTCTTCACGGAGGCGATGCGGGACTGATGTAATGCGGGCCTATCTTACAATGATGCTGACGACGTACTCAATCAACCATGGGTACAGTAATCTAAATCTGAAGCCCGATCCGTACTTTCGGGAGACAAGCTGTCACTCACATCATTTCAGAGCTACTCATAGACTATTCTATGATTTTGATTCAGTTTACAGTTCTCGTACTCCCGCCGAGCGACGCCTACGACTGAACAATGCCCCCCTGGAAGAGTCGATACATCTTATACAAGGTTTGACGCCTGCGGCCTCCGCTCCGGTCTGTCGCATTACCTACTACCCTGCATCACCTTCAAGGTTGACACGTACCTAAGGCTCCGCTCCGTTAGCTTCTAAGTCAGAGCATCCGACGGAAGAACGCGAAATATGGCAATGAAAAACCAGTGAGAATGCTGCCATATTGCGAAAGAAGAACTCGTGTATCCTTTTGGCGATCTCTACAACGCCATAAAGGATGTCTTACAGTCAATTGTACTCTCAGGTAGAGGCAATGTCCGGCACTGACAGAGGCGCGAATTTGTATATGCACCCGGAGAGCAATGCGACTGATTCGAGGAATCGAATTACACCAGCTAGTGGTCATGTTGCTCAGGTTCTAAGAGATATTGCCTCATTTGCTAATCCGCGGCCGACAACCCCAGGCTTCATCCAGCATAGCAATTCTTGAAACTTTTCCGGCCTCACATGTGCCATAGGCAATCCAATTTCCTCCGAGAAAGGACTATATGTTGTTTGAAAGCTAACTACGGAGAAATATGTGGATATTATTCGAGAGGTATACCATTTATCACCATTGATGGGAGTGGCTCCCGGTCGAGACACTGAGTATTTGTGATAGTATGGGCGGGATCAAAAGCGTAGGAGAAACGGTTCTCAGCATCAGCGCTGCATTTCCGCCGAATTTGACTAAAGTGGCAGTATTGAGCTAGATGGCTTCCACTAACCACAGTTTCAAAAACATCAGAATTACATAGTCTGATATGACTTCTCGACTTGCCATGATGATTTCGCCTCTGGTGTCCCAAGGCTTGACTATAAGTATTCGATGACGACATATGCTGCAGTAATTCTGCGGACTTTTCGGGGTTTCGTGATTTAAGAATTGCTGTAGCGACTAGAGACTGGACAGTCGACAAATCCGGCTTGCTTCAGCTTGTATGGGCTTGTTGTGATACTCCAAGTCAACGGAATTCAGCCGGGTCTAACGTACAAGGCCGCCGACAATACGAAGCCCGCCAAGACAACGAGAGAATCTCAATGTCAACTAGTATCATTGCAGACTTCCTGGAGACTACTCATATCATGTAACGCCTGATCAACGCAGAACCCGAAATCCATACAGCTGAGGAAGAGGAGAAGCGATCTCGGGGGCCTGGAAATACAAGTATGGACTATATAGTTGACTATAAGCCATCAAAAAAACAGATTGCTCTCCTATTCAGACCTCCAGAATCAAGGTAGGTTCTGCAAGCTAGTGGGGCCACATAAATCGACAGGCTGTTGTCGACTGTTGCTGATAAAGTGCTCGGGCCAGAGCAAAATCCTTCGGTCGATTTCCAACCCCCTCCCCCCACACCACTTCAATTCCTCCCGTTCTCAAACTACTCATCCTGGGTGTCTTGTGAGGGATTTGACCTCAGACATGCATAAGATAACGATCTAGTAATACACAGGGAGAGGGGGGGGGATGAAAACGGAGTAAGCCCTCGCACATATGGAAAATGGCAGCCTGCATCACACGTGGGTTGCGAGCTATACAAGACTGATCGACATTGAATACTCCTGAGCAACCGCAAAACAGATGAAGCTATAGCAGCAGCACTAAACTAGTATGCAGCCATTGACTCCACGCCATTCGCCCGCTGAAATCTATCAGTCGCGGCCGTCAAGGTTTTGATCAAATGAATGCCAGAGATTATGATGCACGACCCCTGTGACCACGTTCTATAATTGCCATCTTATTTTTCTTACTGGCACCGATTGCGTTTCTTACCCCTGCTGCCATGCGCCTCGAATCCGTCCATCAGCTGCACAGCCATCGTCTTCTACTGCGATATCTGCATCGTACATCGCACTTTCCGCGCCGTATTCGTCGTGGTTTCTTCGTTGACCGCCGGTTTTTAGATCAAACATCGCCTCCCTTACGTATTGCTCCTCGCGCTCACTTTGGTTCAAGTTACACCCAAGACCACACCGATGACAGCTTCTGTCGATGCTGCCTTGACCCTCACAGAAGCTGTAGGTTGGGGATCACCTGCGATGTCTACCCCTCAACTTCAAGAAGTCTCTGTAGCATCGCAGGAGCGACAAACACCGCTACAGCTCGTCAGTCCACTATGGAAATTCTCCGCGGCATTTTCGTCGCAAGTGCTTCTTGCGGGGTGTGTCCTTGTCCATCGCAAATAACGCATAGAACAAGGTGCTGATAAGTCTGTTTGTGAAGGTTTCTAGTTCTGCCTCTAGCTTTCGGGGATGACGAAGCCGAGTTCCCTGCGAATAAGACACCCACGACAATCGCAGCTTTCATCCTCATCGCCATTGCATACTCTTTGTCGCTCGCAGTCGTCTGCTTTCAGTCTCAGGACCGCAATTTCCTGCTTTATTCTCTGTTTCTGTACGTGCGCCTTGACGATCTTCCATTCCATCCAGCTAATGCTTTTTCAGACCTTGCCTGGGTTCAAACCTCCTCGCTCTCTTGAACGTCCTGCTCAACGTCATTTGTCGAAATCTGCTCCCTATGGGCAGCCTGGAAATCGTCAGCCTTGGCCTTTCTAGCACCTTCGTTTTTCTTTCTGGCCTTGGAGCTTTATGTGCCTTCGCGTGGGACATCCCCGGTTTATCTCGAGCGGGTCATCGCCATCGCCCGCACTTGACTGATGAAGAGATGCAGCGCCAGCAATTACAGCGACTTTTAGAACCAGAGTCCTCTCAGAAGAAGCGAAGCTCCAAGGTGTACCACAAGACATTCCAAGTCAAGGCTCCCGAGCTGGTAAATCCTGGAAAGGGCTGGGATACCTTCATACCTCCTCCTCGGGAGGAGAATTATTTTCGATGAGATGCCCCCGGATTCCCTGAGAATATTGGATATGTGTTTTATGTGGTCACGGTTGCGCAAAACAGTTGTATAAAACAGCAACACTTCTGATCTCGTCGATGCACTTGGAAGCTCACTCTTGTCGTAGTCAATTATATCATCATTTCAAGTACCTTTCCCAGGTTTCCAATCCAGTCTAGTCGTCGCTTGTTAACACCATCTGAAACATAGCGAATCTAGAGTATATAGCTGTGGCACCGGGCCACCAGCTCATAGAGCTGTGTCTTTGAATCTACTTCTCTACCATTTCACTCTTTTGGGTCTACTTTCAGCGTAGCCTAGGCACAGCGACCATGCTGATGTAGGAAATGGTTTGTGATAGGTGCCTAATTTTGTAGAGTCTGAAAATAGATCGGCTATGAGTGCTGCTCAAGGTAGACAGAAAGTGCATTGAATTTCATACTTCAACAATCGGCCTTTCATGCCTCTGGCAGACATACCCACCGTACATCAGATTTCAGCATCAAGTTTGACAGAATGGAGCATGTGTAAGTACAGCATCTATAGTCATATTAGAGCCGCTGTGCAACAGCTGTCATCTGACACGTTGACGGTCGCACTTCCCAAGTCATGCCGAGGCTGACACTGAATGATCTCGTCTTGACACCCCATTATACCAGATCAATGTACATTAACCACGACTTAACGAACGACTCTATCCATGAAGATCACTTCATAATCCGATCCACAAAAATGGAACCTCGGCAATTACCCAATTGGGACAGACCGCGCGGAACAGCAGGGCGGGACTTGGAAAGTGAAGACTCCAAATTTCCCCTCCAAAAGTTGTCTTGACTCCTGAACTCTGACCCTTTTTCCGACTTGGGCTTCAAATTAAAAGAGCGCCCTTCATATCTCAGCGCTTTGCAATCATTCAAGACTACTTCCTGTGCTTGTTAGGGACTGTGTATGCCCACTATGGCCAAATCCGTGACCTTGTTCGAACCCCCGCCACTGGACCCTTCGA